AGAGGGGAAGCAGCAAGCTGGAAGTCACTCAGTGAGACCAGGAAACAGACAGGCACAGAACTGTGGCCCACAGACTCAGGGTCGGCAGTGGAAAGCGTTCTGCTGCCTCTCCCCCAAGCCCAGGGTCCCTGTGTTCTCTACATCTCTCCTGGGGGAGCCAGACTGGAAGGAATTTTGCAATGATGGGGACAGCATTACTCACCCCAAAGTATGTCCATTCCTGCTACTTGTGGGAGAGTCCTCCTGACAGTGACCACATTACCCCATTGTGGGTAACTGTGAGCCCAGAAAGGTTGAGGCCTGCCTGCGGTTGCCCATCCAGTGTGGGAGGACTGAACCACAGCCTCAACCTAGGCCTCTCGCTAGGCCCCCCCGGGTCACTTGCCCCCCTCAGTTCTCCCTTCAGTACGGTGTGTTCACCAATAGTCTTCACGTGACACTTACTTACCCCTATTAGCCTTGCATTTGTTCCAGAAAGATGCCAACCTCTATTCTACCTTGGGACTTGTGTGGGTCATTCTGTAAGCCTGGATCTCTTCTCCCCACAACTGCCTCTTCTCCAACATCACCCCTGAGTCCCAGGCTGACCCGGGGCGGTCCCACCCATTGTCCCCAGCCTCAGCTTCTGCTGGCTTCCTGCACAGCCAGCCATCCCGATTGGATTCTTTCTCCTTTTCCTATGCCTTCAACAAGTTGTTACCAGCCTGCTCTTTGGGGATTTCTTCTTTGGCAAATCCCCAAGATCCTCACTAGGTCACTGGAGTGCTCTATCATACTATGGAGTAGCCTATAAAGCCAGGCACTTGCTGGGAAGTTGGTGACGTCTCCATCACCTGAGACACTAAGAAGTTGGTAGCAAAGGACAAGTGTTCTAAGTGACTTGACACGGCAGCAAGATGAATCTCAACTACTTTTGTGTATTCAAAGGCCACTGGTGCATGTTTTTATGATGTTATCCTCAGGTTTTCTATCCACCTGAGCCCAGAGCCTCAGGGGAGATGGTCCCCTCAGGTTTCCTGTCTGGCTCCATCTCTCACCTCCCCTCTTTCCAGGCCCTTCTATGCCAGCCCTGGCCTCCGGAAGCACAGAGCGTTCCAGCAAGAAGCACACCCAGGACGGAGCTGGCTTCTCCTGCTGGTGTGGCCACATCTCACAGCTGAGCACTGGGTGATGTGAGCTGGGAGCTCTAGTCTCTAGGGGTGGGCCTGAGGCTGTCCTGAGGCAGGGAAGGGAGTCAAACACACACACACACACACACACACAACCACACACACACACACACACAGACAAAGCAGGGTGAGCCAGACTCACT